TAAAATACTGTGAGCTACCTCATCCTCACTCGGCTTAGAGGGAACACTGCTCACCACGTCCCCAGGCAGCTGATCCCATCGTTGCACAACTCTGACTGTCAAAAAGATTTCCCTAAGCCCAGCCGGGACCGTGCCACCCTTAATTCAAACCCATTCCTGCGAGTCCTCTCCTCTGCTGCCAAGAGGAACAGCTCCCTGCCCCCCTCCTCCAAGGGACACAGCCCTTCAGGTACGTCAAGAGAACCATCCCTTGTGAAGGCAGGAGAGCATGGCTGCTTGCAGAACAGCCCCCGGGGGCAAAGGTCAGGGGGCTGGGGGGGCGCAGCAACGCCAGGACGGCCTCTCACCTACCTAGGCCAGGCTGGTGACTTCTCCCTGCCCCTGAGCCGGGAGCTGCCCCAGCAGCTTCTCCCTTTGCCCTGCTCTGAGCTGACCGGGGGTGTGTGTGTGTTAGGGAGCACCTCGTCCTCCAAGGCAAACCCACAGAGGCCAACGATTTACGCCCGAGGGCAGCTTTCACGAGGCTGGGCACGGCCCGATTTCAGTGCTCTTCCCTCGAGTGACGGTGTTCATAGGTCATCCTGGTAACCTCCAGTGCCACCAAGCGCGCCGCCCGGACCGGGCCTCGCTTACCAGAGGGACAGCGCTCATCTGGATGAGGAGGTTCTCTTCCTCCAGGGCCCCGTACTGCAGCTGGAATGGCTTGTAGGGCCCGTAGACGGCTTCCACCAGCTCGGTCACCTTCACTGGGTTGCACTCCCCTGGGGGGCCAAGAGGAGGAACTCAGTGCCAGAGAGAGGCCTCTCCCATTTCCACCACACTTGATTCACTCAGAGCCTTGCCACAGCCTCGCCTTTCTCCCGGGCACCCCGGGACCCAAGGGGGGGGGGTCACAGCAATATAAAACCATTAACAACACAACGCATCCCATTGAGTCAATGGTTTCTGAGCTGCGGCCTTGATACAGCCCCTCTTCCCCCCCCCCCAAGGAAGAACCCCTCTCTCAGGCCCCTGGGCAAGACCCACAATATCCACACAGCCGTTTCGCTGCACACCAGCCACGCCTCCTGGGCCCGAATCCTACGGGAAGAGCTTTGGGGCTGGAAGCATCACACAAGGCTCCCTCTAAGCCGTGGAGAGTCTCGTGAGCAAAAATTCCACTTTGTGAGCCACCGGCATGAAAGTGGTGAGCTATGAGCAATCTGGCTGCTGCATTAATTAGTTGGCTCTGGAGCCCCATCCTTCCTGAGCTGAGACAAAAATCTGTGATCCGGAGGCTAAAGAACTGCGAGCTGGCTCACACTAAACTCAGCTTAGAGGGAAGGCACTTTCAGGGACCGCCAGATCGACAGAAGAGTGGCCGCTGCTAAGCCCCACGGGGAGAAACACACCCCCCCTCAAAATCACCGGCACGAAGATGCTCAGTGCCGGGGCTGAGGCCATTCCAGCTCTGCCCACGGGGAGTTCAGCTCCTGCTGACGGATCTGTTAGACTCGCCACACCCTGGCTGAAGAAGACCCTTTAGAACACACAGGCAGGGGGACCAACCCTCCCTCTAAGCTGTGGAGGCTTGTGAGCAAAAAATCTACTTTGTGAGCCACTGGCATTAAAGAAGAAGAGGAGATTGGATTTATACCCCGCCCTTCACTACCCGAAGGTATCTCAAAGCGGCTTACAAACTCCTTTCCCTTCCCCTCCCCACAACAGACAGACACCCTGTGTGGTGGGTGGGGCTGAGAGAGCTCTGACAGAAACTGCTCTTTTTTCAAGAACAGCTCTTTATCAGAACTATGGCTTGCCCAAGGTCATCCAGCAGGTGCGAGTGAAGGAGTGGGGAATCAAACCCGGTTCTCCCAGATTAGAGTCCGCGCACTTAACCACGACACCAAACTAAAGTTGTGAGTGAGCGATTTGGCTGCTGCATCAATTCGTTTGCTCTGGAGCCCTCCTTCCTGAGTAGAGACAAAAATGGGTGAGCCGGAGGCTGAAAACCTGTGAGCTAGCTCAGACCAACTCGGCTTAGAGGGAACACTGGCAGGGACCCTCTCCTGTCGGGACTTTCGATGGCCTGGCCTGGCCGTTGCTTGTGGGAAGCAGGGAGAAAGAGCTCGGTGTGTGACTTGCAGAGTGTCCCGGCATGGCCTTTAGGAAGCTTAGAGAGAAGAGGCAGGCACCTCGCCCAGGGCGTCCCTGAGCACAGACGCAAAACGGGGGCTCGCCTTGTGAACACCCACGCCGGGAAGGAAGCCGGGCAGAACCACGCAGAGCCCTGTGCGCTTGCGAGTCCTGCCCCCCC